TAAAAATCATTTGTTAACCTAATAAAGCTGGCTATATCTGGGGGCTCTGCATTTAACGTACTCCCTCTATAATTTGACTGAAGACATTTAAACATATTATTTCTTAATGGAGTGAAAGACGAGAAAAAGCATTTGTAGTTTAAAAAAAAAAAACACTCTTGCCTTAGATAGATAAGAACCATACCAAATATATCCTTTGTGAATCCCTAATGTTTCCATGAAATTATTATTCCTTCTGGGATGTTGTATCTGAGGGTTAACATGACTGTTGTCTGTATCTGAGAAATGACCATGTTTCCTTTTAGTTCTCAGCAAGAGTAATTGAACGTAGACTATCAGTAATAAACGCTGGCCTGTGACAGTGTGTTAACACTCTGTCTCCTAACGCCAGGGCAGCCCCCACCCTGGCAAATATTTCATTCGCAGTTCCCTGGCCCACTTCCACTTTTCTAGTTATTAGAGGCCTTTACTACTCTTCTGTGCTTGCCTAGTGTCTTATATTTTAAAAGCATTTTTTACTAAAACTTAGAACTCAAACATATTTTAGACAGCCCCCCATGGTTCATGGGGCAAGAAAATACTTTTTTAAAATCTTTTTTTTAATTGAAGTATAGTAAAATTTACAATGTTGTGTCAGTTTCAAGTGTACAACAAAGTGATTCAGTTATACATATTATTTTCCATTATAGTTTATTATAAGATATTGAAGGGAAAGATACTCATTATTTTATAATAACTTATAAGGGAAAATAATCTGAAAAAGAATATATATATAACTGAATCACTTTGCTGTACACCTGAAACTAACACAACATTGTAAATCACCTATACTTCAATAAAAAAATTTTTTAAAAAATTGAGTATAGTTCCCTGTGCTATACAGTAGTTCCTCGTTGTTCACCTATTTAATATATAGTAATGTGTATTTGAAGAAAATACTTTTTGCTGTGTAATTGTCATTTGCAAAAGTAAAACTTGAATTCTCCCACGTATCCTGTAGAGTTCTTCATTCCTAGAATAAGCAGTTACTTTGAAATCATGAGAAATTACTGTTTCTAATCTGATAAAAGCTGAAATTGAAGCACTAGTAATCGTGCTATGGGAATTATAGGCGTACCCGGTCCTGTTTCAAATTCTTTTTATTTTACAGAAACTCGTTTTAAAAGTAAACCTCAATAACAAAGAGAAGAGAAAAAATTAGACTTTGGCTTCCCGCAGGCAATTACAGAATAAAGGTCAGTGTATGAGTGGAAAATGACCATAAAAACATTCTTCATGAAATACAGCAGTAGATGCTCCAAATATAACAAGTATATCCATTTGTTTTCAAGTCAACTGCATTTTTTAAAGTACTTTCCCTTAGAATCCTTCAGTAGAAGAATAAAAACTGAGAAGAAAAGAGCCAACTGATATGATAGATTGTTAGAAATATGGAATGGTTCAAAATATTAATGTAATGCTAAGGGTGACCGGGTAACAAATGGTACATTTGCTCGCTGTTCAACCTGGCATAATTAATATTCTAGGTCATGCTTAAGTTCCCATGATGGAAGGTCTGAAGGGGGGAAATTCAAGAAAAATATATATCTATTATATAACTCATTGCCTTTTTTTTTTCCTTTCATTTTGACGAGTCAGAATCATAGCCTTTAAAAAAAATCAGTGCTTTCACACCTCATTTGCTGTATTCACCACTGGGCCACCAGTCAGCAGCCGGGCCTGATACAGGGAGGTCAGTAAGAAGCTATTAGCAGAGTCCTCTCCTGAGATTTCTTGGGTCTTATTGAGTTGAATGTTAGCATGACAGTACTGCAAATAACTCAGTTGTAGGCTTCTTCTTTTTTTTTTTTTTTTTTAACAGTTAGCACAGATTTCCCCATAGTGTTGGTCACTCTAGAAAATTATTGCTGAAAATGAAGTCCCCAAAGCTAGCTTGGCATTAGCCCTTCTAAGTTGTGAAAAATGTGAAAACGGAAAAATATGTCATAGTCCCCGAGGATTAACTTTGTCTTCTGTGACTCATAGTAATACTTTTTAAAAAATCCATAGCAAACCATTATTCACAAAATGGCTTACAAATTAATGAAATATAGCAATTGAGACAATAGTTCGGGTTGTTTTGTTAACTTAAAGAAATAATAATTAAATGGATACTATATTAATGTAAGTAGATAGGGTCTCTGCTTGCTGTAGGGATTGAGGGGGGCTGGACCGTTTTCATTGACAAAAGTTAGCCAAATGTATTAAATTAATTTCTAAAATACTGACACCTTGAAGATTTTAAATGATACATTTTCCATTCAATTAAAATATATTTTCTATCTATATATGATTTAAATTGCAAAGAGAATACACATGAGGAGATCTCCATATAGGTTGCAAAATATAATTTAAGAAAGCTATCATGTCTACTGATCTATTTGCATTTCCCATCTAGCCTATGTATACATGTGCATGCAAATGTGAAGGAGATCAAGGAAGATTTCTAATGGGGGTAAAGTTAATAGCTGGTAGCAGTTATTCAGGTAGATAGATATTTTAAAATGGTAAATTATAATCTAGTTATATTGTATGCATTTTACCATTTTAATCTGTAAGATTATGGTAATGATAAACTAACAGACTTCAGTTAATTAGGTCATCACTAAACAGAATGGTATTCTCTTATATCTCTTTCATAGACTATGTAGATTTAGTTCTATTTTATGTTAGAATAGTCTTTTTAGTATAAAATTTATTGTTTTTCTCTCATTACAATTGATATAGTCTCATCTTAGAAAATCACCCTAAAAATCATTTTAAAAATTACCATCCACTTAAAAATTACTGTTCACCAAAAGCTATTTTGAATACATATGTGTATTAATTTTCTTACATTAACATCATTAAAAATATCTGTTTACGTGTCCACCTTGTTCTGTATTTAGTATTATAGTAAGAGAATGTTAACATGACATTAAAAATGGCTTATACAATGCCTATAATGTTTCCAATACTTTTATCTTATGTAAATTGTATAGGGAAAAAAGTCTCAAAGAAGAGCCAATTCAAGAAAAAATTTAAATAGGTAAATATATTTACATTAACTTTTTCCTTAGCGTAGGAAAAATTTGAATTGAAGATGACTCAGTGGGTCTGTGATAATTTAGTTCTAGATCACAATGTATTCAAAAGCAAATTAAACCTGAAGTGTTAAGAAAGATGAAAAGGATTTAATCTATAACTTTGAAGGAAGTCAATCAGATTTTGAAATAAACTCAAACATTTTACTAAAATATTTATGCGGCTCAAGAAAGTAAGAGTAAAATAGAGACTTTATGGGCCCTTCTGAACAGTGCATTGTTTTTCTACATAAGCATTTAGCATTCATTTTTTGAGTGTCTGCTATGTGTTAAGCACTTTGCTAGGCCCTGGAGATGCAAAAATACCTAAAATAGAGTCCCTGTGCTCCAGCGGCTTGCTTAGGGAAGATGGACACACACAAAGATAATTTTGAAACAATGTAATAAGTAGTGTGATAGAGTTGTCCCCAGGCTATTAAGGAAGCATTGGGGATAGGACATGGAGTCTAGCCTGAGTTGGTATTAGTTAGAGGTTTATACTTACTGAGGAGTTAGGCTAGAAATATAAAATTTCCTAGCATAGTTTTTAAAAGACAACTACCGTAGGTAGTCATAATACTTTGGACTTGCTTATTCCAAGAGGTAAGTATAACAACCAGAAATATTTATGGATATGATGGTGGCATGAGAGAAAAGCACATTTTTAGGAAAAACCAGAGAGGTTTAATGGATACATTCTTTACATTAGTCTAGAATGTCTACAGAGCAACTAAACAAGTCATCCTATCGTTTAAAATATAGCTTTTCTTTATGAATATGCATTTGTATATAGGAAAGGAATAAAAATATAGTTCTAAGCAGTTTGTATATTCAAAGATCATTGAATTTTCAGAGAGTGGAATGTGCTAAACCTGAATTTAACATTTAACCTGCATACATCTTTTGAACCTCCATTGCATAGCAGTCACTGTGTTAAATAAGTCTGGACTATTTTGATGCTGTGTGTGACAAGGTCAGTGATAGACAGCAAGGGTAATGTGATGATATAGAAATAATGCTCCTAACCATGTGAATGCAACTCATTAAATACAGGGTGTTATTTTGAATGATTGTATACATATGTATACACATACATATATATACACACATGTATGTTTGTATATAATATATATATATATACATATACCAGTTTATTATTTTAAAGAACTTAAAATGGTGGCCATTAATTAGGCTGTATAATGAATAATCTTTCAAATAATCAAATATTTATTAAGTTCATACTTTGTACCTGAAACTGGTTCAAGCATTATATATTTGAGTTTGTGTGAGTGAACGTATGACTTACAGAGCTGGTTAAGTATACCTATACATAGTTAATGGTTAGAATACAAAATGAATGCCTTAAGGTCCTGTTATTTTTTTTCTCAAATACAATTATATCAAATATGCCATGTGTAGCAGATAGAAACTATAGTTTCTATTAGTTGTTTTTAACATGTTTAGTCTTCAACCATGAATCATTCTGAAATTGTTGGTCTGGGGACAAAGTGTATTTTGTAATATCCTTAGACTAAAGTCCTCTAATTAAGAACTAGAGTTGTAGTTTAACATAGTCCTTAAACATATGAAAATTTGTATGGTACAACTTTATCTTCCCTTTATTCTATGTGAAAATGAAGGATAAAAATCAAAATGATGGGCTTCCCTGGTGGCAGTGGTTGAGAGTCCGCCTAACGATGCAGGGGACACGGGTTCGTGCCCCGGTCCGGGAAGATCCCACATGCCGCGGAGCGGCTGGGCCCGTGAGCCATGGCCGCTGAGCCTGCGCATCCGGAGCCTGTGCTCCGCAACGGGAGAGGCCACGACAGTGAGAGGCCCAGGCCCGCGTACCGCAAAAAAAAAAAAAAAAAAAATCAAAATGATGTTGTTCTTCTTTAGATTCCAGGTATATACAACTCACCTTTCAGAAAAGATCCTGATCCATGGGAGTTGCGGTTACAGCAGGCAAAGCCTTTAACACACCGAAGACCTAAAGTGAAGCCGAAGCACTCCGTCAGCCTTAGCAGCTGGCTGGCTTGCACAAGTGCCCGGTCCTTTCCTCGGTCCGGAATTCTGCCACCCATTGATAGGAAACGATGTCAGGTACTCATTAGTCTTTTTTTTTTTTTTCAGTTTAACTTTTCTGTCTTCGTACTTTTATTATTCACTTTTTTCTTTTTTATTGGAGTATAGTTGCTTTACAATGTTGTGTTAGCTTCTGCTGTACAATGAAGTGAATCAGCTATATGTATACATACATAAGAATTGTGTCAGCGATCGTATTCTGTTTTTTTTAAAAAAAGTTATTGTTTTGTCTTTGTGGAACGAAAAGAAAATTAATTTTTTACAGAATCTAATTTTTTTTTTTTTTTTGGCTGTGCTGTGCAGCTTGTGGGATCTTAGTTCCCTGACCAGGGATTGAATCTGGTCCATGGCAGTGACAGCGCCAAGTCCTAACCACTGGACTGCCAGGGAATTCCCAAGAATCTAATTTTAAATAATAAAAATGAAGTATATTTAAAATATATATCAAAGAAATAAATATTTCCTTGGCATTGAATTTTATTGTTCTGGGTGTGAAATTAACATGTAGGATTTTTGGCTAGGATGTAGCCTTTTTATGTAACAATACTGTAATAACTGTACTTGTTATAACCTGTTGTTGCTAGAAAAATCCTATGTATTATCAAATTTATTTAATTTAGCCTCTCATCTGATGGTTCATATGATTCTATACATTTGTAAACATAATTTGCATGGGAGTCATTTAAAAAGTATAAGCTGGAGAATTAAAGAGGGCCCAAAACAATGCAAAACTCAAGCAAAGACAAAATCTTCACTATGGATTAGAATATAGCATGATTGGCAAATGACTTCCTAGGGCTAAAGGGTGGAGTGGGATGGGTTGTGATGATTGTCACTGTCCTAAAAGTTCCAGAGAGCAACACTTCTGTCACCCCCAGAGAGCAGTTCTGTCACCCCCAGAACTGCTGCCTCTTAGCTTCTTACACAGGCTTGCCTCTGTGCATCTACTGCTGTATAATAAATTATATTATATTTATGTATAAAGCCTGATGGCTTAAACCAACACACGTTTCTTTTCTCACAGTTTCCATGGGTCAGCGTTGTGGGTACAGCTTAGGTGAGTGCCTCTGACTCAAGAGATCTCATGAAGTTGCTGTCAAGGTGTCAGCCGGGACCGTGATTTCATATAAAAGCTCAGCTGTGGAGGAAGGAGAGGAGGGTAGGGAGATCCTCTAGTAGGGTCACTCACATGGTTGGTTGTTTCCCTGTCTCTGTCTCTCCTCCCTCAGTCTCTATAGCGCTCCCCTCCCTGGAGGAGGGAAGTGCCAAGCTTCTAATCACTTGGTCTTTCTGGTGACCAGTCTCACCCAGAGGCTATCTAGGGACTCCAGCCTAAGTCACCTTATTAGCTTAAACTCAGGTGTATTCTTGTTATGAGTAACAAAAGATACTCCTAGCATTGGGAAATTGCAAAGGTTTTAGGAGCTCTGTGCCAGGAACCAGGGACAAAGACCAAATATATATATATATTTTTTGGTACGCGGGCTTCTCACTGTTGTGGCCTCTCCCCTTGCGGAGCACAGGCTCCGGATGCACAGGCCCAGCGGCCATGGCTCACGGGCCCAGCCGCTCCGTGGCATGTGGGCTCTTCCCGGACCGGGGCGCAAACCCTTGTCCCCTGCATCGGCAGGCAGACTCTCAACCACTGTGCCACCAGGGAAGCCCTATATTTCTTATTATACCCACAATGGTGTAAATATAAAGACACATGGAAAATACATATACATTTATATAAAGGTATACATTCATATGTATGGGGAATACACATCTGTATGGAAGATTTTATATGTGTGTATATACATACACATATATATATACAGGTACACATACCCACATGCATACTCGTAAGGTACATTTATCTAACATACCACAAAACAATTATCCCTGCTAATTGTTTCCTTTCCCTTTCCTTCTTTCCCCATCTCCTTCCTCCTTACCCCTGGTCGTCCTCCCCCACCCCCATTATATCCTCTCATCCTTCTTTTCCTTCTTTCTCTTATTTTTCCTTCTTTCCCATCTTCTCTTCCCACCTTCTCTCTTATCATCTTTGACTTCTTCCTTTCTCCCTTTCTTCCCTGCTTTTTTTTTTTTTTTCTTTCCTTTCCTGTTTTCACAGAATGGGACTCTTAATGTGGTTTTCTTTGACTGAACCCCATTTCCTGTACTTATCTATAATAAAAAGGTACCCACATCACTGGGGACATTTGAGATTATATATACTACAGTCCAAATGATACTATTTATACTCTAACAGTCTGTCTGCACTTGTGAGGTGAATTTCTTAAATGTGTGAGACAATAATAGCAAGTTTAAAAGTTTTTTCACTATTATTTAAGCTTTGAGAAAAGTTTATAAATACAAGATGACTCTAATGTGGGTTATTAAAAATATAGAAGAATATAAGTATATTTGACTCATAATTGGACTTGATTGAAGGCAAAGAAAGTCAAATATTGGAGAACTGTAGCTAAGAGCCTACGAAGTCTCATAGGTTCAGGTTGAATCCTGAATGGTCTACACATTCTAGGAATTAGTATTTGGAAATGAGTACAATGAGCAGAGTGAAATTTGGGATGCTACCTCATTCCAGGTATGATTGGTATAAGTGATCACTTGAGATCTAAGAGTCTATCCATAGAAATAGAAGTCAACAGAAGCTTTGGCATAAGAGAACCTTGACAGTAGAGGCCAAGTTTGCGGACTAGGAAGGTGATCTGTTAAGCTCAAAGGCAAGACATTAATTGTCTAAGATATAAATGTATGGATCAGGTACTGAAACACATAGAAAAATGGACATTCTTAAGGAGGATTGTGGTCATGAAGATTATAGTTAATGAAAAAAGAAGAGTGGGTCTATTTTATTCTAAATTTTGCTGCTTAAGTAGGGCTTCCTCTTTCATTTCCTAATCTTGTTGGAAATAGCAAGTTCCAGAACAAGTAGTGGAGTAAGCCTCAAATGGGTGCGTGTTATATTGATACATCAACAAAGGTCAGACGGCAGAGATTGGCCACCAAGAAGACTTTATTCCTTGTGAATGCAGGCCCCTTCAAAGTCATAGCCTTAGTCTTTTGTTTATATACTTGATGCTACTGTTGTTCAAAATCTTTTTCAAACTCCTCTAGAAACTAAAAAGTAAGAGTAGTAAGATAATAATAAAGCTAGGAGTACAATTTTTGCATATTTACTAGGTTCTAAGTACAATGCTAAGAGTGTTACTTATATTGTCTTATGTATCTTAAGGGCAATTTTGTGAGATAGTTATTATTCCATCTTACATACGAGGAGAAGAGGTCTAGAGAAGTAATTTGCCCCTAATAACATGACCAAATATTATTTTTCAAACCACAGAATTTGTCAAAGTGAAAGATTAAAAATCTATAGAAAATATCCTCTTTTGATTTCTTAATCCTGAACTTGGAATCATGTTACTGTATCTTTAAAAAGTAAAGTTCCAATAAAAATCCATTAACTACTTTCAAATATAGCAATCCTCCTATCCAGCTGTGAAAAGTACTAGATGATACTTATTTGCCATTTGTGTTATTTACGGTCCATGACTTTTATGGTAACTGGTTCCTATTATTGGTTTCTATTAATGTAAAACATAAGTGAACATAAATGAGGCGTGAATCATTTCTTTTTATTAGCCCCCCAGTCTTCACTCACTGCTTGCAGTAACTCCAGCTGCGTCTTGTTAGTGATAACCTATTTAAAGAAGAGATCTTTAAGGACAAGGGATATGATTAGAAATCTTTGTCTATTTTATATCGCTTCTCTCCTGCACAATAAAGGTGACAAAAACAAAATGTAATCGATGGCACAGCAAAATCTCGAGCCACCTCCGATTTGTATTGTGTTTCATACGATACTAACTAGATAACCAGTGGGTACTAGTAACTAATATAAGTAACTACTAATTTAAAGGTGGAATATGTTGTAAACCCCTTCACACCATTGCAACTTATGAACTTTGCTATATGTTTGTGTCATTAAATGGTCGCTATTGTATCAGAGTTATTAAGCAATAGAATTTAGAATTTAAATAAAAACACTTAAAATAATTTAAAATATGGCCCTTCTATATTTTGGAGGAGGCCACCAGTTAAATGTAAGATTTGGCGTTCACCTAAAAGCTTTATTTTAATGAAAAAAAAACTTGCCGTCTGATTTCTATCTATTTGAAAACTGTGCCCAGGGTCTTTTCTAATATTTTTGCTTACTCAAAATGGGAGTGAATTCTTTTTAAATTATAAGAAACGTGCTTTTTAAAATTAGAAAACAAAGCAACTCTTATAACTACAAGTTAACTAGTTCTAGCATGAAAACTCTTTTGATGTAAGTGGGGAAAATTCTGCCTAATTTAAAACATTTTTAGTATAATCACTTGCACTTGTGTGAACGTTTCTTGAAGATGTGGTGCTCTTACTTCATGTGTTTTCTAATTCAGAGAAGAATAAGTTGTTCTTTAAAAATAACCTAGTAAATACTACTTGTTATTCTTTGTAGATATTCAGTAGCCTTGGTCATAAATCACAAACTATCTACCTCACCCTTTCTTGTCAGGGACCCTTCCGCGATGTCTCTGAAGTGTGGGAACAGCGCTACAAGCCTCTGGAACCGACGCTGCGAGTGGCTGAACCGATGGATGGGCTAAATGAGGCCAGAGCACAGCTCCAGAGACAGGAATGGACGCGAAATGTGAATGACAATATGTGAGTTCTTAGCTTAAAAAAAGTAGCTGTACCATGTTTGGTGCCTGAAGTATTTTTAATATTTTCTATTTCCTAGTATTGTAGAGAATCTTTTATTTGTGAGAAAAGGAATCTTTTATTTGTGAGAATAGGTCACCCCTGACCTATTCAGAAGCAACCATTTTTCAATATGCAAGTGTTTTAGATAAGGTCGATATTGATGATGATATTGATTTTATACACACACACACACACACACACGCACACACACACACACACACACACACACACACATACATACATATTACTCAAAGGGAAAAAGGAAAGAATGAATGGCATTTCATGGGGATAAGTGACCACCATCCATGCATCTGTGAAGATAATTTCCTTAATTATCCAGTGAAAGTATTCATATTTCTGATGCTTCTATAATAAGATCCAACAGAACAAAAACATTGTTCTTAACGTGAACTAAATTTTACTTGGATACATTGATACGGCATTGTAGTTTTAATAAATCAGGTACAATGAAAGAGTTTAGTTTCTTCACCACTGAGGAACATGATTGAGAAAGATAAAGGGCAATCTAAGAGCATATGCAATTTTAAATTATTATATTAGCATCACTGATTTGGGTCTCAATTCATCCATCTTTCTCCAAGGCATTTCCTCTCTCTTCAGGCATTTGTCATCAATAGTTATATGCAATTTATAAACAGACAATTTAAAATCTAGAAAAGCTTTTAAAAATTATTATTATTCTATAAGATATCTTGTAATTATCTTTGTAATATATCATAATTATTTACTATTATATATACTAAATAATAAAAAGGCAATTATATTATTCTAATCTAAATTATTATAATTTAATATATTATGTATTATAAATAATTATATGTCAACTACAACATATAAACCGCAGTTACTTATTTATATAATATATACTATGCACTAATCATCATATTACATATGTTATATAATAATAATTCCAAAATACATTACAAAGTATGTTTTGTTATATAAAGAAACTAGAATTACCTCTTATCCAGCATGGTGGATTTTGGATAGTTTTATCAGTCAGAAGGGATATATAATATGCTTTATTTTAATCATACATTTCTGAAGAGACTCTTGAAAAATAAAAATTTTTGAACAAACTCATATGAAAGATAAAATTGGCAAGTATCTCAAGTAATTTTCATAAAGTTTTTCATTTTATAGCAATTACTTGAAGTGAGATATTAGCTATAGAGTGTTCAGCATATTCTTTCAATAATTGAATGAGTTACCCAACACATAATGAATAAGAAAATAAGAAACATTTTTTTCCAATTATTTTGGGGAGGTAGATTTCTTTTAGTAAAGAGATTATAGAAGATTAGTGCTGCTCAACTTAGTCAAGCAAAATGTGCAATTTAGTGATGAATATCAAAAGAGTTATATTATTCAGAATTATTTTTCTATTTTCAGTGATGCCAAGGTTTATGAAATAACAAAATTAACTTCTCAAATAATTGACCACATTGATATTGCTACAGAAATCACTGTGTATAAAAGATACTGAAGGGGGGCTTCCCTGGTGGCACAGTGGTTGAGAGTCCGCCTGCCGATGCACGGGACACGGGTTCGTGCCCCGGTCTGGGAAGATCCCACGTGCCGTGGAGTGGCGGGGCCCGTGAGCCATGGCCGCTGAGCCTGCGCGTCTGGAGCCTGTGCTCCGCAACGGGAGAGGCCACAACAGTGAGAGGCCTGTGTACCACAAAAAAAAAAAAGAAAAAAAAAAAAGATACTGAAGGGCTTCCCTGGTGGCGCAGTGGTTGAGAGTCTGCCTGCCGATGCAGGGGACGCGGGTTCGTGCCCCGGTCCGGGAGGATCCCGCGTGCCGCGGGGCGGCTGGGCCCGTGAGCCATGGCCGCTGAGCCTGCGCGTCCGGAGCCTGTGCCCCACAACGGGAGAGGCCACAGCAGTGAGAGGCCCGCGTACCGCAAAAAAAAAAAAAAAGATACTGAAGTATCCTTTCTTAGTATTTTCCGAAAGAGCAGATATCAATGTTAGTCCCAAAGAAAGGTGCTCAACTTTTACTTTCTGTGGAATACTTGTAAATATCTTCAACCTCTACAGTGTTGCTGATGACCCTTCACCTTGAACTGAAAAGCACTTTTAGGATAACCAACCAATCAGGAGCAAACCAAGTTGGGAATGCTAAAGAAATTACTTACAGATTTGAAGCTATCATGTTTTTAGTGAGGAGGCTAAGCAATGGGTTTTAACAGCTAGCCTATGGATAATCCACGTTTTCAGAGAACTGAAACTATTATTTTGTAGCTTCTTCTGAATCCATTTTGGTTTCCATATACTGGATAACATAAATGTATCTTGTGATACAAAGATACATTTGTGAGGCAAAAGAAATGTTAGAAATTTAGGTTTTATATGTTTCAGATAATAATTTTGTGATAGAAATTAGGCCAAAAGTCTACTTTTGTCACAGAGATACATGGTTTAGTAATGAGAAGGATCGTTTTTGGCCACGTTACCAATTTCACCTGTAAGGAATTGAGGGCAGTGCCTTTGCCATCCAAGGGCCTTAACTGGGAACCCCCTATCTAAAGCCAGGAAGGTAGAGCTTTTTATTTCTAACCTTAAGGATTCAAAGGGTGGCCTTATATCTGAGGATATGACACATTTAGCTATTTTGTTTCCATACCTTTATGAAAATTGCACTGTGGTAATAGTAGAAGGTTGGGCTTTGGAACTAGATCTGTGCGAGCTCAAATCTAGACTGCATTACACAACAGCAGTATAATCTTGGGTAAGTAACTTAGCCAGCCTGAGCCTCTGTTTCCCTGTCTGTAAAATGGGGAGAGGAATGTTACCTTAAAGGTTGTAATGAGGATTGAATGAGATAATGAGTATAAAGTACCAAGAACATAGCAGAGTTTTAATAGAAGATAATTATCATCATGTTTAGTATCTGCTACAAGCATAATAATTCTGCATCTAAGACATCAAACTGTGGGTAGGAAACCACAGATTCCACAGGTGGGCTGTATTTTATCTACTAGCCCTGGGAACCAGAAATTAAGGAGGACCACAGGCAGAGCTCTCATAGGCCACTCATAGAAGATTTCTTATTAAGGTTCTGAAAGACAGATTTTCTGAATGTGTTAGTTTGCTAGGGCTGCCATAACAAAGTACTATAAACTAGATGGCTTAAACAACAGAAATTTAATGTCTTATGGTTCTGGAGGCTAAAGTCCTGGATCAAGGCCTCAGCAGGGGTGATTTCTTCTGTTCCATCTCTCCCGTAGCTTTTGATGATGGCTGAATCTTTGGTGGTCCTTGGCTTGTAGAAGCATCACCCCTATCTCCGCCTTCATCTTCACAGAGATACTCTTCCTATGTGTGTGTCTGTCCAAATTTCCCCTTTTTATAAGGACACCAGTCAGACCAGATTAAGGGCCCAGCCTACTCCAATATGACTGCATCTTATAATACCCACAATGACTGTATTTCCAAATAAGGTCACATTCTTTAATATATTCTTTAAAACAAGTATAGGAAGTGGGACAGTAACATTTTACATATAGAGTATGGAGGGTTTTTTGGAAATCGTTTAAAAGCTGTTCTTATTCCTAAAGAAACTCAATTTTCTCATGCCTCCTCGAAGAAAATTATTTTCATTATTCACATGTCAATCTTTACGAAGCCAAGAAATTAAATAAGCAGTTAGTAAATAATTGTCCAGTAACCTTTATGTGAGGAGCTCTCGGCTAGATATTATAAGAAATATAAAGGAGTATTTATTGATTCAACAAATGTTTGCATGTCAGGAAGAGTTCTACGCTCTCGGAATATAGCACTGAATAAAATAGACAAGTCTCTGGCCTCATGAAACTTCTGTGCTTCTAGCTTTAAACTGAACCAGAAAACCTAATGAAGTTCAGAATAAGTATCATTTGCAGATAAGCACTTGAAACTAGTCAAGCGTGTGTTAAAGACAGTAAGTGCCATGAAAAAAAAATTTTTTTTTAATGTAGAGTTTGCTCTGCTCTCTGATGACCTAGGAAGGTGTTCTTCACAGCAAAGGAACTGAATTGAGTTCTGTGGAAAGAGATGTTTAAGATTTTGACAGAGAAAGTAGATAAAAAATAGGTTGATGGTATGGGGAAAAATGATGGTAGAACAATGAGGAGACCAATTTGACAGAAACTCATTTTTATGTGAGAGGCAATAGAAAGAAAAGTGGTAGGAGGCTTCAAGGCCAAGGATTTGAGGGTTTATCTGTAGATAATGGAGAACTATTTAAGGCTTCTGAGTAAGAGGATGTTAGAAGCAGAATATGAATTTGTTGATTGTATTTGAGAAGAAATATGCTGGAGGGAAGGAAACGCATTAGGAGAATATTGCAGTACTTTCGGTGAGAGGTAACGGGATAGAACTAAGGTGAGGGCAAGATTCAATATTCAACTTTTTCTTTACTTCTCCTTTCTATACGTAATCTTTCTGAGTGATTGCTTCTGTTTGAGAGACTTCAATTCTGTGACAATGATTTCCACTCTAAGACCTTTCTCCTACATTCCCGATTTATATTTTCAGCTGCCATCTTCGTTTGCATCTCCGCCAGATGCCCCAAACTCAGTAGACCCTACTTTGGCCTGCTTCTTCTTGTCTTGAGTGTGAATTGCAGCACCAACTGTCTGCCCAAGTAGGGACTTGTGAATTACCCTGTTATCCTTCTCTGGAATTCTATTGGTCCCCAAATCCTGTCTATTCTACCTTTCATGTATCTCTCAAATTCAGCCACCCCCTTCCCTTACTACTATTGATTTAGTTTAGGACTTATAATTTCTTCTTTTAATTGCTGTAAATCCCATCCAGTCTGCCCATTCAGTGCATTTACCATGACCACACTAGAGAAATTTCAGCAAGCAGTTATTCAGCCCAAATGCTTTTTCATGGCTTTTTATCAACTACAGGATAAATCTTAATTCTTTATTTTAAGACTCAGGGCCCTT